AATAATAATAATAATAATAATAATAATAATAAGTACAGTGTTACTTTCATTTGTCTAGGGCTGCTACATCAGTATCTTTTGGATGCAAGTGTTGCATTTTGTACTCTATTTTCTAATATGCTGAAATAATTATATTTCAGCTCAACAATGAGCTAACAGATAACACTACCCAGCTATGTATAATTAGTTAAAATCAATATCCACCTGCGACACTGAAGCGACAGATACATTTTGAATCGATAATTTACATAAAATTTAAATAATCCTGTATAATGGGTCTTTTACATGATGTATTTTATGTGTATTTTGAGGCTAAACATTGCGCGTTTCACTGAATTGAGCACCAAAATCTTTGTTTCACTATTTTGAAAACCAGTTATTTTATGCAAAACAGCATCCATAAAGCGCATCACTGAGGTAATAGCAGTGTTCTTACTGTGATCAGCACGAGTTCAGGGACAGTTACTGTAGATGTTCACTTTAGTCATGAGAGATATGTGAAGAGAGAAGTACAGCGTGTTTGCATGTAAGTGAAGGAATCACCCTGGGGATGGTTGATGAAGGCAAGTAAGAGGAAGGCGGAAAGGGTGAGAAGTGTTTTGTAATGAGCTTTTTTTTCCTCAAGAGACAATGTGAAATAGAAAGCAAGATGAGAACTGGGTGAAAAGACTTGTAATAAAAGCTTTTCCGATCATTAAGTTTTTATAGAACGTACAACACAAGCAAGCAGTGTCTCCAATATGTTCAAAGGCAGGCATCATCCTAACATGAAAAAGATGAAAATTAGGTGCAGGGGACGTTAATGGCGAGGACCAGAAACAGCAGTTCAGAAGGGATAAGTCCATGCGGTATGTCTGATCACTACAGGAGGGTTTCCACTCTCCTCTCAGCATGTTTTCTGTAGCCGGTGGATGTAGTTACTGGCATGATTGGACTGTACACAACAACGGCACGTCCTGCTGCATTTAAAATCTGCAGTCTCTAAAACTGTGTTTTAAATACTTGCGTTAGCCTTTAATAACAAATGAGGCTGTAGAGCTGAAATATATTACTACATATCATATTACGAGATGAGTTAAACATGCAGTATAAAACACGCACACTCAAACGCTCTCGGAATAAACACTTCCGGGTGTCTCCTTAAATTTCTCCATAATTATACGAAAGCTCTCCGAGGAATTCTCTTTTTGCCTTGAACCAGAAGCATTAAAACCATTGAATATTAATGGTTTCAGCTCCTTTGCCCTTCAGGGAGAGCATCTTTTGCTCACTTGTTTTGTAGGCCTGTTTCCTGCATCATAGAAAAAATTCATACAAAACAAGCGTCAGATTTCAATCAACTGCTGTCAAAACTGTCTGGATCAATTCATCTGTCTGTGCAGTCAAAGAATGAAGTAAAATACATGTCTTAAATCATCACACTGAATGTTTGAGTAGCAAAGTATGAATAGCTCTCCCACCTTCTAATTATATGTGCAGCAGGGGTGTCTGTTCTCATTAGCGAGTGGCTTTTCCACATGCCCCGTGACAGCTCTCGCTGCCTGTGGCACGTTTGATATTCCACAAAACCTAGAGAGCTAAATTCTCTAAATGTAAAGGACAGGGGAAAGATTCACATGTAAGTTCAATTTCCTACAGGTTTTCTTAGAAGTAATTTGGAGATACCATCAAAGTTAACCTAATATTCTATTTAATTTAAAGCATAAATAAATAAAAGCAATAAAAGTTGGCTTCAGCGAACTAAAATGAGGTCATTTTTTAAAAGAATTTCAGTTATAAAATCTAAAAACCCAACTCTTTTATTGAGATTGTGGTAAAGTAAACATCCCCCCCCCCCCCCCCCCCCCCCCCCACACACACACACACACACACACAATGGGAACACATGGAAATTCATTGTGCCTGACAAACAGAACATGGAGGATAATCCACACAATGTCTGCTCCCCTCTGCCTGTGTGTACCCTGCTCATATTTACCCTTGATTGGCGCAAACAATCAAATAATTAGCTAATTGCTCACACAGAGGCGGGGACAGAGACCGATAGGAGGGAAGGAAAGTGGCAGAGAGCTGTGCTACGGGGTGAGAGAATTCCCTGAGAAGACATGTGTGGCAGATCAATTTTGGCACTGATGTAGTGCTGCAGCTTGTGCTGATGACAGCACTCTCGGGAGGCTGGATGCTGAGCTCGGTCACAGTGGCTGAACCAGAATAAGCTGCATTTCACCTAACTGAGAAAATCCAAAACAGAAAACAATCCAGCAAAACTCTAATCATAACTTGAAAAATAATAGAATCAAATAGAATAATAGAAACTGGTGGATGATAGTAAAAAAAAAGAGAGAAAAATCTGAAACATGAAAAGAAAAAAAAACCTCAGCTGCCTTTCCTCGTTATTAGGCTATTTTGATGTCACACACGCTCAGATCCTCTAAGTAAAGAAGATCACATGCGAGGGAGTGTTGGTTGAAGGCGTGTCGGTTGGCAGGAATATGAATTATGCAATTACAAAATCTAACAAATGTGAAAAATCTCTTTGATCACCCAGCTCGGAGCAAAGGAAAAACTGCAAATAAGAAAACCTAAGTGGACAGGGTACTATGCATTATATAAGAGTAGTTACAAGTTATAAACGCACCGTTGCCACAAGCACTCCTGGCACAGTCAAACCCTTATTTACATTATACAAGCCAAGCCTGTCTGCACTTGCTCGCCACACGTATATATAAAAACACATACATGCATGTTCATTTATAATGTTATTCCCTTTATCTTCATATATAGTGAAATGGCAAAAATTGCTGTTCAGAAAGACCAAACAAATGAATACAAACATATATTCATTCTGCCTATTTGAAGCTACATACTCATTGTAGAAGACAAGGTAATTAATTACAAGCGCTATTAACGTCTGCGTTTGATGAACACCTATTTTTACATTTGTAATCCAGCGACACTGCAGTAAAAGT